AAGGCAATATGCACTGCCTGGCAGCTGCGGGCACACGGCAGTAGGCTATGGAGTTGTCTTGGGGCAGTTCCTGATGCACTGGAGGATGGACGGACACTTCAGGAGCAGAGAGAGCTGCTGTGGATCAGGGCAGCACACTGTTGCTGGGCTGTAAGCAAAGCCACCCCATCCTGTGTCTCAGCACACAGAGCAGAGGGGGATGAATCCATCTGCAGCGCTGCTTCATGTAGACTGTACATCATGTAGATGATGTAAGATGATGGTTAAATTGAAAAATTATCTATTTCTGGCTGCAGTCCTCGTTTGGGTCATTTGTAACTTCCTGTAGTCAGACAAGCCAACTGAGACCTTAGCTGTGTTGCCTTCGCTCTATCTTTGTGTCCAGTTCCCCCAGCTGGGAAAGCAACTCCAGTTGGTGCAGCTGCTGCCGCCAGCACTGGGGTCAGCCAGCGCTTGTGGACAGAGGGCATGTCTGGGGCTTGTGGTTAAAGGCTGTTCTTTAAATGTTCCCTCTCATGGGAACTGTCAAGTCAACCCTTCCCATCCTTAACATTATCTGGGTAATGGAAATCTTGGTGTTCACTTTCATGTATGCGTAGCAGGTGCTGGGCAGAGCAGCACTTTCCACCTTTTCTAGAGGTAGCCATTGCCCAAACTCCACACTCCAACTACAAAGGGAGAACCAGCACAATGCATTTCTCCTTCAAATGTACCTACCAGCTTCTGATGGGGCATGCAGCCTATAGCTCAACTTTCCCTGCCTGAAGCTCATGCAGGACCACGGCACAGCACTGCATGGGCTGTGCACCCACCAGGAGCAGCACGGGGCTGGGAAACAGCCATGCAGTCATGTGCTGCAGGGCCCCAGGACCTTGGGGCCTGGCTGCTGGGACAGCAGAGGTGTGGCATCACAGTAGCTTGGAAAACATTCTGACTTTAAACCAAGGAACGCCTATAATTACAGAGGCGTCATCACCTTCATCATGTTTTTTTCAGCTAACAAGCTGTAGTTGCGGCCTGTTTGCACCCCTGCCAAAATGTGCAGTGTTTGTTCCTGGGATGGTGGTGCTGGGGGTGGGAATATGGAGCATCCTTCTCCAGGCCCGTGTAAAACAATCCAGCAGTAAACAATTCAGGTACAATTAGCAGTGATGTTGGCGGAGGGTGCAGTCCCACTGCTGTGGAATTAATCACATTTTACAGCGCTGACGTTACTGGTTTAGTTTTGTGAACTCAAAAACAGCAGAGAGAGTTTCTGATAAACAGTGTTTATTCCAGGATGAAACGTACACCAAGTCTCTCCCAGAACAGTATGGGCTGGGGGTGGGGGGAGCAGTGCTTTAGAAAAGTTATTTTAATGCAGTTATCTCCTTTCCTTTTTCTGCTGAAGAAATAGATGAACAAAAAAGCCTCAGCCCCGGCAGCTCAGAATAACCCGCACTAGTGGGGTTAAAGCTGGGGCTTCCTTTCTGTTGCGCAGCTCCTGGGCGTCCGCTGGCCCGCAACGTGCGACCCAAACATCGCCTCCGCGACTCTTTATTTACAGCGATTTTCCCGAACGGCTCGAAGGAGTACCGGCACACCGCCTCTCCCGCACCCAGGTGCGCTGCGCGGCGCTCCCCGCTCCATGGGGCGCTGCTGCCGGGAGGTGGCGCCGCGGGTCCGGCCCCGAGAGCGGAGCGCGGCGGGGGGCGAACGGCTCCGCGCCCGGGGGGGACCTGCGGAGCTCCGCGCCCCGCGTAGCCGCCCTATGGAGCTACTGCCGCGGTACAGCGCATGGTGAGCTGTCCCCAGCCCCGGGAGCTTTGTGTCAGCCCCGCTGGAAGGCAGAACGCAAAAAAAAAACCAAAAAAAAAAAACAACAACCAAACAAACCCAAAACAAACCAACCAACAACAAGTATTCAATCCAAAAGAGGGGGAAGAAAATAGGTTCCGAACAGGTTCCCGCAGCCGCGAGGAAAGAATTTGTAGCGAACAAAGTCGGTAACTCGGGGCCGCCGCTCACTGCAGCAGCCGCCGGCCCCGCTGCGGCTCCCCTCGCCCCCCGCATCCCGCCGCGTTGCTCTCGCCGGCTCTGCGCCGGGATCTGAAACTTTACGAGGCTGCTCTCAGCTTCCCTCCCCTCTCCGCGTCCCCCCGGCGCCGTCCCGCGGGGCAGTGCGGGGACCCCGGCGCGGGATGCGCAACTCCCGGAAAGCAGCGCCGCGCTCGGCTCCCGCACTCCCGCTCGGCGGCCGGTGCGCGCCGCTGCGCACCCGCGCAATGCTGCTTGGGCGGGGGGGTTGGGGGGGGTTGAGGCGCGCAGGCTGCGCCCGCTTTGCCGCTCCGTGCAGGTAAGGAGTTGAGGGAGGGATGCGCGGGTACCCGCGGGCCTAACCCCCCCCGGCCCTTCCCCCCCTTTAAGCCACCCGCGTAGCGTGCCGGGACTGCGCAGCGTGCGTATGGAGGGGAGGGTGGGGGGAACGAAAAGTTGCTGCGGGCCCGAGGATGCGGCGCTGCCCTGAGCCTGCCTCCGCGCAAAACACGCGCAGCGCTGCGCACCAGCGTCGTCTTCCCCGTGCGGTCGCCCTCTCCCCTTCGCCCCGCAAGTGATCGCATCCGAGCTCCGCAACCCCCACCCCGCTCTCATTATTATTATTATTATTATTATTCCTTCTCCCCCCCCACCCCCCCATTTTTCCCCTGCACCGAGCCTTGTTTACCCAGCAGGTGGATGTGACGTCAGAGACTGACAACAGCAAAAAATAACAACATCTCCCTCCGCGGGGGTGGCGAGGGCCGCCCCCAGCCCGCCCGGAGCGAGCGGCGGCGCGGGACTGCGCGGGGCGGGGAGGGGGGGGCCGCGGGGCGGGGGCGCGGAGCGGGGCGGCGTGCGGGGCCCCGAGCGGAGCGGAGCGGAGGGCTCTATTGTTATTTACCGAGCGGCGGAGCACGCCGCCGCCGCGCCGCGCCGCCCGGGCTCGGCGTGCCGGAGGGACGGGAGGGAGGGACGGGACGGAGAGGCAGCCCCGAGCCGCTCCGCGCCGCCACCCGCCCCGGGGCCGCGCCGTGCTGGGCAGGGGCCAGGCCGAGCGCTGCGGGTGAGTCCGCCGTCCCCCGACACTTTCCTCGCTCCTCCCGGGGCTGTTGCACTTCTTCCCCCACCGCCGGTCCCACGTGTCTGCCCTCCCACCCCCCCCCCAGCCCTTTACCGCCGGTACCGGGGGTGGGGGGGGAGGTGTGGCGGTGCGCACCCGCGGAGCCCCCTCCCCCGCCCTCGGGCCGCGCAGCCGCCCGCGCCCCCC